AGAACTTTTTTTTTTTAATATTTATTTCTTAGTTCTCGGCGGACACAACATCTTTGTTGGTATGTGGTGCTGAGGGTCGAACCCGGGCCGCACGCATGCCAGGCGAGCGTGCTACCGCTTGAGCCATATCCCCAGCCCTGGGAGCCACATTTTAAAAGAATCTAATAATGAATGGGTTTAGGGAAAGGGTTCATCAGGCTGTTTTCCACACTGACTTCCTGATTTAATTATAAAAAGTAAATAACTTATTTCCTTAGCCAGCTAAGGTCCTAATTATGGAACGGCATAAGGAAAGGGCAGAAAACATGAGCAAACTGAGTCTTAAATTATGACTTTAACAAAGACCTTTATCATGAGCTCATATTCCTAAACTCCCCAAAGTTGAGGGGTGTGTGTGTGTGTGTGTGTGTGTGTGTGTGTGTGTGTGTGTGTAGAATTTTAGATAGATAGATAGGCAGACAGACAGACAGTCTTTGGTGTCTTTTATTCATCCTTTTGCCCCCTTAACCAGTGAAGAATAGGTACACATAACACCTCCTCAATTTGTTTAATCAAAGACATACTTAAGCTTGACTCAGCAAGGGCCTACAAAAGCAACAACAACAAAAAAAAAAATTCAACAGAACAAACTACAAGAGAGAATCAATTTCATGAACTGTTTTATTAATCTAAACTGATAAAACTGTTCACAAAGTTACCTTGGTGTTGAACAATTTCTAATTGGTATCTATCTTGAAGACAGGAATTTAAAGACCTATTATTGAGTTCCCAACATTTAATCTAACCCTGTGGGAAGGTTCCGGTAAAATCCGGGAAGAGATAGTGATAAGCAGGCAAAACTAAAGGAAAATTAAGTCTATGTACGTGGGGCTGATCATCTTTAGAACACAAACTCTACAAATAAGAAGTTGTTTTAGTGCAACTGACTTAGCAAATGCTTTTCACTAGCGAGATCAGAAGAAAATGAGATTTCTCACTCCTGGATTATGGGAACTATGGAATTACTGTAGTTGGCTAATAAATAGTCTCAAGCATCATCTATTGTGTGTAAAAGTTCCCAGCCCAAGACTTCCTTAAGATTATGAGTCTGTGTTTACAAGTCTGACCCTGTAAGTACAACAGCAGGGGTCTGGAAATTAAAAACAAGCTATTTCTTTGGCGGATTTTATTTTAACATAAGTGTTTAAGCTTTTCTGTTCAACTTGCGGGCTGCACTCCACTCGTGGGATCAGGTACCGCTACAAACACCAACCACAACCGGAACTTGAACTTCGGGGAGGAAGGCGGAAAGGGGTGCGATGCGCCTTTTGGATGTATCCAAGTGACCAAACCAAACCCGGGTGCGAAGGCGAGCCCTGCCTGGCGGGTGACCGCAGGGGAGCAGGAGCCCGGGTCCCTTAAGCCCCAGGCCGAGAAGGCAGTAGGAGCAGGCGGCGTCGCGGGAGGGACCGGGGAGGTCCCCAATCCGCGGAGCGACACAGCCCAAGGCAGGGCGGAAAAGCGCGTCTCCCGGGCCGGGCTGTGGAGGGAAAGGCCGGCGGAGGTCCTAGATACCTGACACAATGCCAGCTCCTCCTTTAGGCAGCTCAACTCTTCCTCCAGTAGCTGCGTCCGGGTCATCTTCGCCTCCTCTACCGAGATGCCCTCTAGCCGCCTGGACCCCACAGGCTCGCTGAGGAGGGGAGCATGAGCCGGAGCAGCCCCCGCGGGCCCTCGAGGTGCCCCTGACCCTTCTTCGCCCCGCCAGAGTATGTCATTTTTATCCACGACGACCTCCCGCACTGTGCTGGCAAGCCCCGAGGCTTCGCTGCGCACCGTGTGGACCTCAGCTCCCCGCCCAATACGTGGGGACCGGGGGCCCAGCGGTCGCGCCGAGGGCGGAGGGAGCGGTGAGGACGGCGAGCGCGCCGCCATGACCGCTAATGGTAACGGGTCAAGTTCCCACTTGGAAACTCCACCTCCCCTTCCCCATCCTGGCGAGCCCGGAGCGCTGATCTGCGCATGCGCGTGTCTTTTCCCGCCTAGGCGCGCGGGGTCTTGGCAGGCTTCCGCGGCCCGCGAGCGTGGGGCTGCGCATGCGCCGTGACCGGAGGTGCTAGTCTGGTTAGTACCCAGCCTGAGTCTTTGCTAGGGATGCCTGGATTTCCTGTCCTCCGCAAACCGTATCCTCCGTTTAAGGCCTAGCTCTCATCCCCCCTTTTAAAGCCTTCCTTGACAAGCTTGCAGCCCCAAATGATCTTTAACTATGAATTTCTCTTCTTTCAAGGCCTCTGCCAACTCATTTGTCATGTTTCATTGACCGCCCAGGAGTGTTAGTTACACGGCTAATCTCTCCAGCGCTATCGTAAACTCCTTGAGGATGAGGGAATAGATTTTAGACTTAAGTGTCTTTTCACACCCCTTAGCAAAACTGCCTTAGATACATCTGACATTCAGCTGACTGATGTCAAGGAGAAGTGGAAATCCTTATGCTGAGCTGGGACCATCAAGCAGGTTTCCCACTTGAATTATGATCCTTTGTACACCCTTTGTCTTTTGTTTGCAAGAGTCATGATTTCCTTTGAATCTTTATACCAGTTTCTTTATTCGTTGGCTGGATCAGAGTGAGCCTATTCCACTCAGCCCAACAGGTTGGGTCCTCTGACCAATCTGAAATTAGTAATTTGGAACATGGTGAAAGGAATAAGACCTACTTTTCTTTATAATTCTCTTGTTTGTTTGGTTTTCCTTCTTGACTTCTTTCTTTATAAACTTCAAATACGCAATAATGTCCTTTCTTTATCCAAAAAAAACATGTCCTTACTATTAAGTTTAGTAAGAAGATGTGCATTGAGGGCTGGGGATGTGGCTCAAGCGGTAGCATGCGGCCCGGGTAGAAAAGTGATAACTTTCATTGTATTTCAAAGTCATCTGTACCAGTATTAAGCTGGTGTGCAAGAAGATACTCTCCCACTCCCTATCATGCTCATGCAAGATGAGCAGGCTCCTTCCCACTAAAAGTGACTATCTTGCAAAATTTATAAAAGGATCGCATCAGAATATATGTAAGTCTTACAAGTAGCTACCCAATTGAACATTTACCATGCCAACTGTTAAGTACTTAAATGTTAAGAACTTTTCACATATAAATTAATTCAATTCTTAAATCACCTTAAATTAGATGTTATTACTCCCATTTTACTAGTGAAGAAACTGATTTCAGAGGTTACTGTAACTTGCCTGAATTTTCACCTCTGGTATTAGAAGAGCTAGAATTTGAATTAACTCCACTTAGCTTTAAAACCTGTGCCTTTGATTTCTACCTGTACTAACTACCTGTCATCTGAGATACAGCATTAGGTCTGATAGCATGTGAGATTTCATTGGACTTAAGACTTGGAATTCCAACTGCATAGTTCACTAGTTTGGCTTACAGTCAATATGAATGTACATTTTAAAGGCAATTTGTTATTCACTCAAAACAGTATCATTTCACCTGATCACAGAAAGATTTCTTTTGAAAAGCTCTCTATATAATTGTACATAATAGATAATATATATAATTGTGAATAATAGATGATATATAAATATATAGAAATGTATAGGTAAACTTATAGATATCCCCAGAAAAGGATATCCTGAATCTTGACTAAGCAGGTAGACATATTTTTTTTAATTTTCTTTTTATTGTGGCAAAGTACACATAACATAAAATTTACCATTCCATCCATTTAAAAGGACTGCAAACAAAAAACAATTGAGTGGCATTAATACATTGGCCATGTTAGACAACTATCTAGTTTCAGAACATTTTTATGACCCCAAACGGAAACCCCTTACCCATTAGTTACTCCATGTTGTCTCCTCCCATAAGCCACAGGCAATCAATGACTAAACTCATTTCTGCTTCTGTGGATTTGCCTATTCTAGATATTTCATATAAATTGAGCCATATAATATGTGGGCTTCTGTGTCTGATTTCTTTTATTTAGCCAAATGTTATCAAAATTCATCTATATTGTAGCATGTATCAGTACTTCAGTTTTTTTATAGCTGAGTAATCCACTGTATGGATATACCACATTTTGTTTATCCATTCATTAGTTAATGGACATTTTGGTTTTATGCACTTTTTGCCTAATATAAATAGAGCTGCTATGAACTAATGTACTGTATTTTATGTGAACAACTGTGTTCAATTTTTTTTGCATATATACCTATGAATAGAATAGCTAGGGCTTATGGTAAGGCTGTGGTTAACTTTAAAAACCACCAGTTTTCTTTAGTGACTGCACCATCTTACATTCCCATCAGGAATGTATTAGAGTTCTAGTTTCTTCACATCTTTGCCAACTTTGTTTTAATGATAACCTAGTGGGTATTAAGTGGTGTCTCATTTTAATTTTGATTTGATTAATGACATTGAGCATCACTTACTTGTTGGATATTTGTTTATCTTTTGGAAAAAATATCTCTTCAAGTCCTTTAGCCTTTTTTTAATTAGATTATTATTCTGTTGTTGAATTGCAAGAATTCTTTACAGGCAGACGTCTTTTAAGAATAGATATGTGCACACTTCCAGGGTGTACATAGGGGATTCTTCTTTGTGTTACTTGTTTGCTGAAATATATAGAAATGAATGAAATGTTGATTTTTTTTATGCCTTTATTTTATTTATTTACTTTTATGGGGTGCTGAGGATGGTATCCAGTACCTCACATGTGCAAGGCAAGCACTCCACCACTAAGCTACAATCCCAGCCCCTGAAATATTGAATATTGACACTCATAGCTCAAAAGATAAGTTAAAGACCTGAACTTTTAATTGAATAACAATGTTAAAAATAATCAACAGTGTTTCTCCCATTCAGTTCTTTGTTCAAACATTTAAAAGCTATTATGTGTTCCTGGAAAATATGCAGTAAAATTGCTAAAGATGAAGTATACTAGAACACAGAGACACGATTCTCTCCATATCACCACTGTATGGTTGAAATGCTGAGACAAGTGAGGAAATGTACAAATTAATATTATGGGTTTAGATGATACCTATTACTTTAATTTTTAAAATTTACTTTTAACTTTGTTTAAGAAGAGAAAAAAATACATTGGCAATTTATCAGCTTTTGTGTTTCTTTGTTTCCAGAAATAATGCAGAATTTTAAGACATGTTGATTTCTCTTTTACCAATTTGGTGTCATCTTTATTCAGTTAGTAGAAAGTAGTTGTTAAATTTTGGACAACTATTAGGTATGAGTGAAACCTCATATCATAGATTTCTTTTCACATCATTTTAAAGTTTATCTCAAGTTTTAGTGTTTGCTACATCCTAGAGATTTAAATAGTTGTTTGCTGCCTGTATCTTCAGCATTATAAGAGAAATTCAGAAGCTAGATATACCAGTGTGACAACTGAATCAGCAGCAGACATATTGTCTCAGTCTAGTGTGGACAAATCATCCTCCAAGGGTTAGTGGAAATAAATTTTAAAAAACTATTTTGTGTTTATAATTATTATAATATTCTTTGAGCAATTCCTGGCAACTCTTGATCCCTTGATCAGTCTAAGAGCATTCTTGGTCATGATTATAGGTATAGAAGGAGATACTATCAGTGTCAGTTGTACATGTGATTTTCATACATTTCAAAATTATGACCCTACAGAGCTATGGAAACAGAATTTCATTTTCCACTTTTATTTCCAGATATAACAGTCCAAAACTGTTTAACTGGTTTTTTTCTTCTAATTATAGGCTTTTCTAAAATTATGTTCATTAAAACCTAACTCCCAAGGTGAGGAAATGTGCAAATTAATATTATATTTAGATATAATATTGGGAGTTAGGATTTAATTATTGTTTAACTATTATTCTGAAGGGGAAAAAGTAACCTACAGGTTTGAAATACAGTGCCAGGGTACCTGAGAAATTTCAGTGATTCTACAACACATAGAGTTTCTATAGTTTCAGCTCTTCATTTTGACACATGACCACAGTGAGGCAACACCCTACTCTTTTAAACTTCCCATCCATATTTCAGCTTCCTTCTCTGTGATGGATGAAATAATATACCCAGAATCCTGCATATTTTAACTGAATATTCTTTTCCCTCAAGGCAATATTGAAAAAGTACTCCAGTTAGGAGCTTGTACACAGAAACTCTCCTATAAACACCATAGGAAATGTATCTACTTTCTTTATCATCTTCACGGTCTTTATTAAACTCAGTTTCTGGAAGATATAGAATACAGTATTTAATTCTGGTTTACCTAAATATTGCATATTCCCAGATAATATATATTTGTATTTTGCATCTATTTTTTCATCTTTTATAATTGCTCTAAAATTTCTTATACATGTGATTTGTAAATGTCTCTAGGTAGGCTATAAAATCCTTGAAGAAAGAAAATGCTTATTTTTTTCTGTACTCCTCATTATACTTATCACAATGCTCTCACATATGAAGCACTTGATAAATGCCTGTTAGCTAGTTTTCTAAATGCCACAGAAAGTTGTGCCTTCAGCAATTAATAGGCACTTACTATGGTAGTTAATTATATCCCATTTCAGTGGACATTCCTTTGCAATGAACAGAGAATGTTTTCATGGAGTACAGTATATCAAAGTTAATATCTGAGGAAAAAATCAAAGAAAGTGTGTAAGGAAGGGGCCTGGGATAGGATATATACCCTTCAAGAACACATAACCAATGAGGCCCCACCTCCCAAAGCACTATAAGCTGGAGACACAGATTTTACCACATGAGTTTTGGGGGGAAATTCTAGAACTAAACTATAACAAATTGAGTAGAAAGCACACCAAGCAAATACCTGGGAGAATATCAGACACAAAGGAAAGAGGAGTATGAACATAAAGTCAAAGCTTATGAGTAAATCTGAATGCTGCAGAGTTTTATAAGTTGTGAGGAATGACATTCATACAAACTATTTTCCAGATAACAAATATCTTGTTATCCTGGAACCTCTGAGAAGTCCAATCCCAAGTAGA